TTGAGGGAAATTTGGGGGAAAATGACGATGACAGTGCAGCGACAACACGCGACCCGAAAATAAAGATGGCAATCACCGTGCGATGTACCGTTATGACCGTGAGCACGCATGGCACGCTGAATCGCAAGGCACAAACCGCACAGAAAAATCGTGATTTCTACCCCAAGAATCTGTTCAAAATTGCAAAACAGGTGTCATTAGAATTGAGAAATGTCTGCTTTTGATTGTAAAGGTGATTTTTGAGCAATAAAAAACATTTTTGACTCTAATTTGATCAAAACTGTGAAACAAAACAGGGGCCCTACACTTCACAATCGCCAGGATTACCGTTAGTCGTTACCCTTAACTTTGCCAACCTTCAAATTCATCGCAGATCCTGTCATGCCTGTCGTCATTTCCGCTCGCCGATACGGAAATCTCAGACTCTCCTTTCCCTTTCTTCATGTTCTTCGTCGACAGCTCTCCCGAAACGGCTGCACCCTTTCCTGTCTTCGACTGCTCCTTCACATCCTTCTCTCCAAAGGATGGTGTTTTCTTCTTCAAGAAAGCGTCAAAGGAAAATGGGTTGGATTCAGACTCTGTACTGTCGGTGTCATCAGTGGAGGCTGCCATCTTGTTTACATGCACTTGGCTGTGCGCGGCTAAGGTCAAAGGGTATTCAATGTAAAATTTGCATGTTGCGCACTCTGGGTGCGTTCGAGTAGCGTACCCGGATTGATTCGGGTGAAGGCAGACGGGCTAAAACTACGCGAACGCTCAAGGCGTAGCCACCGTCGTAGCATTAAAGCGCCCGTTTCGGAGTGGGTCTTAGTTTGAGATGAACTGCTAATTTCAGTCAATCACAAAACTCCAAAAAGTTGGGCTGAAAATTTAGCCTCATAAAGTCTCATCTCAATGAACTCAATAAACCTTTACCTTGGCTTTAGACTTCAAATAAAGTTGATTATTTGGTCCACTTGAGATTTACGCTGTCCGTCCGGCGCCATATTTGCCGGTTTCTTGGAATGAGTAACACACGCTTACGAGGCTCTGCTCCACAAACAGGGTCTGTGGCGCAGAGCCTCGTGATGAGCCCCGAAAATAAATTAAACAACACGGGGCTGACACGGGGCTAACCCGAGTCGATCCGGCTGAGCTACTCGAACGCACCCTTACGCTTTTTCGCCCCTTGAGCTTATGAGGCAGATGGTTCCCCGTATACCCCGCTTTTTACGTTTGTTCGCCACTTTCAAGGGGGGCGGGGGGGGGGGCAATGAATTTGCCGACAGAGCTAATCAGGCCTGGATTTGCTTCCCCGATCACTCGGCTTCCGTAAAATAAAAAAGCGGGGGGGGGGGGGGGGGGGGGGCTCTAGCGACGTCCGTGCTATATTGCAATGGCAAACTGAAATTATACGACTCGTGACTGAAATCCGCAGACAAAAAAAAAAACCAGCCCAACGAAACATTAAACCAATCAACATTATTGTCCTTATGTCCCTATAAGTAGAAAGACACAAATGTTAACTTTCAATATCATAATGATCTGGTATATATACGAGCATGTATGGTTCGATGTTTCGGACACATTTCGGTTTACGCTTCCAATATTGTTTATGTAAAACAAGTTTGCAAACAAACTTCAGTTGCAAACAAACTTCAGTTCAAGTGCCGTTTATTCATAGGCGTGGCCGGGGGGGTGGTGGTAAGGGGGGGGGGGGGGGTGGTGGTAAGGGGGGGGGTATCCCCCCCCAATTTTGGAAAGGCTGCCCTTTTCCGTTCAAATGCCCTTTCTCACCAGCGCTACCCCCCCCCCCCACCCACCCATATTTTGTAAAGAGTTCCTTTTTTTAACATGTGCCCTTTTTTTCTGAACAAGTGCCCTTTTTAAAAAGAAGTCGTGCCCTTTTTTGTCCCATCGGCCGTTTTGGGTGCCTTTTTTTAAATTTCGCGTGTGTATCGCCCTGAAAGCACCATATTGTCCATTAGTGTGCACAATCGTCCGTTTTGAACAGCGCCCCATCAAAAGATGGTTCCCCCCCCCCCCCACACACACACACACACACACTATTTGATTTTACGGAGGGCAAGTGTCCGGAGAAAAAAAAGTGTCTACATCTCAGCACGGATGTCCAAGTGCCCTTTTCACGATTTTTTACCCCCCCCCCCCCAATAAAAATGACCGTGCTGGCTACGCCACTGTTATAACGGGTGTTTCACCCCCACCCCCGTGGAACCGGTGGGGGCGGGGGGGGGGGGGGTGGCCATTGCTTCCCCAACCCACTTTTCCCACCGGGGGGGCATGGTCCCCCACTCTTGGTATAGGTCCCACAATAGCGTACACTTGGAAAAGGGCGCCCCTATTGCAATGTTGTAGTACTCGTACTCGAGTACTACTCGAGTACCTTTTTGGAGTACTCGTACTCGAATGTCAAAGTACTCGTACTCGAAAAGACGGTACTCGTACTCGGGCAGCAAGTACTCGTACTCGACATGTCGAAATTGTACTCGATCATCAAAGTACTCGTACTCGAATAGCAGTACTCGGGGGGGAAATGGTAACTATGGCCTTATTTTATCGATACTTTCAGTTTGAAATGGTTGATTGGCTTGTGGAGAAATCAAAGATTCCTGATTTTCCTATGTGCACGTCCGGACAAACACAGTTAACAGCTAGCCGTGAGTGGGTCTGCATATCGGTCTGACTGGGCCTGGGCCAATTACGCACAATGAACCATTTGCCGTATGGTCGTATTCGGAAATACAAGTACTCGTACTTGTGCTCGTACTGGAAGTACAGTACTCGTACTCGTACTCGTACTCGTACTCGGAAGTAAAAGTACTCGTACTCGGAGACCTGTTCTTGTACTCGAAGGTACAAGTACTCGTACTCGTACTCGGCAACCTAAGTATTCGGCAGTACTCGGTACTCGGAAAAAAGTACTCGACTACAAGGGCCTATTGATAATTGTGGTTTACCCCCAGCCCCCCCCCCCTCCCTTTTTTGGTGGTAATTCCTTTGGTTGATAGAAGGTCCTTTAACGAGCTGGGGTTTCCCTCCCCTTTTGCTTTTCGCGTTCTCCACGGTCGGCCATCGCGGCCAGAAAATGTACAGACATTTCACTTGGTAGGCCTAATTTGTTTTTGACAAATCACAAGCTTTTCTTTTTCACAATTTCAAACGTAAGCTCCGATTGGCTGATGCATAGCTGGTTGCATAACATAATACTATACATGGTTGATATAATTATGCATGGGAGTCGTAAAAATTATGCATGGTTGATATCTTGCAGAGTGACTTTCTTCGTGGAGCTCGCTCGCGTCAAAATTTTTATGGTGCGGGTATAATATTCAACGCCAACCAATCGGTTTTGAGTTTTTGACTTTATTTCAAGATGACGTCATTTCGATCAGAAATCTGGGCTACTGTCCATTGGTCAATTTGGGCTGACATGCTTTTGTAATAGGGGTTACGGCCGGTGTAGCATGAATTTAGGTTTTATGAAATGCGGACTCATTGGTGGTATTGCGCAAGCTCATGCATAGATAATTAGGGGTCCGGTCACGTGAGAGGGTTTAACCAATAAAAGGGAAATTTTCGAGTCCGATTTTCATACGGGTCCGATTTTCTTATGATACCGGCAGAGATTCTGAATGGTCAGAATCTGGAAGTCAATACGCCATTTTGTTTTGCATATTAATAAATCACTGGATACAAACGGATATTCCACAGACTATAGGATACGTACGTGTGCTGATGATATGATCGGGGGAAACAAGTTCACCATTTTGAGTGGTTATTTGACCTTGTTAGTTTAAATCTGGGTGTCCCGCGTGTGCTTCAACAAATTCGATTTTGATAGAAATAACTTTTCTATTTGTATGAATTGTTTTATTCCAACCCAATTTTACCCCCCTTTTGGGGCGTCTTCAAACCTCTGCAATAAAACGCTTTTTTGTTTTAGACACAATAAGCAGATCCGCTTTTCGACTGGCTCCCGGTACGTACATTATCGATGCCGATTGTGCGGCGGGAACCAGCCTAGTACCCCGCGAGAACGGATTCTGGCAGCCAATAATTGGAAATTGTAATGTAATAATTCGATATACTAAACATGGGCTGACTTTTTTTCGGTTGATGTCTCATTCAAAAGTGAATGACTTTTGTACTGCTAGAAAAATAGCAATTTGGAAAAGGATTTTTTTCTTTCGGGATGAAACTCGAAAAAGCGCGGGGAATGCATCTTTAAAAAGGCAATACTCAACATTCGCAATCATAAAAAAAAAACGGAAAAAACTACCAAATTATTAGAAATGCCTAACTGGACAATGTTGGTGAATGACAGTCTAAAACATCCTGTAAAATCGTGGCACCCGTTGTGCTGGCATTTTCAACAAAGGTGGAAGTTTTGTATCAAAATGGTCAGCCGACCATCGTTGAAAAAACTGGCTTTTCCCCCCAAATTTACCACATTTAGTTGGTCCACATTTTGTTTGCAATCGGTAACTTATCTGTGACCGGGTATTAAGCCAGCTACACTGGTTCCCTGACTTTACAATAATTACCAGACGTCTATAAATGGCTCCATCTATAAACGGGTCAGGGAACCAGACTACAAGAACAAGATTTTTGTTCTTGGTTTTTCAGCATCAACGAACACAAAACCTGAAACATGTCGTAGTGTATTATTGGCTATTAATTAAAATTACAGCAAAAGCAAATGTTGTATAAATTCCCTCATATGATGGGAAATGCAAATTGTCCACAGTGTTAATGGTGATGCATAATACACCTTTTCCCCGAGCCTTATAATATCCCATATGACCGGCACATATCAATTTCTAATGGTTCTAGCCCAGGTGGACTCCCTTTCCTCCCTACGTTACGGAATACAATGAAGACTTCGTCCAACCTGGGCTATAACGGTTCTTATTTATTACCGTCAGACTACCCGCACGTCCTAATCCCTATGAAAAAATTCTTTGTACGGTATTTTTTGAAAACACAGCAAATGTGCGGGTATAAATCCGGGATATGTGAAATTTAATGGTCCGTGCTTTGACTTCCGTGTATCGTAACTACTAGGAAGAGGTCCCGGTCACGGCAAGGCAAATTTAGTGGCCTTAAACAACCTTACATTTGTAGCGAACATAAAGACCAAGTCAATGTACAACAGCGGGTAAGTTCCATTAAATTCTCTGTTGTCTCTCGAATTCTGTGATCATATAAATAGTTTACTCAAATTGTGTAATGACATGTATACTATGTTATATTATTAGACATCTCTACGAAGGAGAATTCAAAGATGGTCAGTCCTTGCTCTTCAAAAACAAAAACAAATTCCTTTCTATTTTGCCGTTTGCAACGCTCTACAATGCTTTAAATTTCGGTTATACCTTTGCGCACAAACAGACCAAAATAAATGCAAACAAAATATAACGAAATGCCAGACGCAGAATATGTAACCAACATTAATAATATAGGTATGGTTTGAAAGATATGCCTTTCCACTTTGAAATGGGACATCAAACGTCCAAATCGGATACTTTGTGACAGGGCTATGACTAATTTTTGAAGAGAGGTCAAATGACCATGGGACAAAGTTTTCAATTTTAGGCACTGGGACAAAGGCAGCCTATAATTGCCTCTGTGTGGATAATTGCCTTTTAAAAAAAATGTTTTAGCGAGTTAACACCATTCCAAACACTTTCTTGCTATCACCTCATGCTAAAAATGTTCAGCATGTAAACATGTTTGCAAACTGATAGCAAGAAAGTGTTTAGAACTGTGTTAACTAGCTAAACACAGAGACAATTAGCCTACCTTTGTCCCAATGCCTAAAATTGAAAATTTGGTCCCATGGTCAATTTGACCTCTCTTGGAAAATTACTCATAACGCTGTCAAAAGTTATCAGATTTCTTTGATTTCTCAAAATACACACCAGCCACTAAGCTAAAGTTTCCACGGGTTGTAGTTGTTAAACACCCTGCTTAAGATTTTGAGCAATGTGTTGCTTCAAACGGGCAAAAATGCACAAAGCAACAACTGACATCTTACGAACTTAGAAATATTCCCACTTTACTTTCACTGTGGCAGCTGTATGTGATACGTGACAACTGACAATGCATCGTTCATCAGCGGCAGCCTGGCTGCTGGTCTTAGTGATCTGCTCACGGCAGTCAACGACAGAAAGCAAGAACATCTTGATCGTAGATTCAATTGTCGGAGGAAGCCACTTCCAGCTACTTAGTCTTTTAGGTGAGTCTGTTTCATGGGCGTCGCCAGGGAGGGGGGCAAAACACTTATATAGCCGAAGCAAAGGGAGAAATCACCGGCTGTGGAAAAATCAACGACCATGTTGTTATAATAATATACATTAAATTAATAGTAATATGATACGCCCCTCGCTTCTTTTTTCATTTTCATTTTCGTTTTTGTTTCTCCTTTGTTGGTGTGCTTTTCGGGGGGGGGGGGGAGTCTGTTACTCGGTCATTTCTAAAAATCACTCCAATTTTACGTAAAATCAAACAACTTTTTGAGAGAGAAATACTATAATTGAAACTCGATGAAACTGGATCTGTCACTGAATGGATTTCACTCTAAAACACATTGCCCACACAGTTTCAGTCGAAAGGGTGAATCTTCACCCGAAATAAGAGAGTAGGACACAACAGCAGGGTTTGGCAGTAGATTTGTTCCTCAGCTTTTGGGAGTATAGGCTACTAGTGAATGGAACAATCCTGATATTTTTGTGCAGGTTTACGACTTTGGAAAGTCGAAGGGAGATTGACACAATCTGACATTATATAGGGACGCGTTATACAGGGTGAGTCTGAATGATCTGGACCCAAATTAAAGAAAATGTTAAAAATATGTAGAAATTATCTAAACAAGTGCAAATGAGATTTGTTATAGGCAGGTATTCTGGACATATTTGGTGAAAGATTCATGTATACCAATCAGTACCATTTTGAAGAAAAGCGCTAGCAAAGAACACAAAAAGTTTCACAGCGACTTCATTGCAAACTATATTTTCACGGCTCCCCTCCCCCCTTTGGGGGGGGGGGGGTAGGGGTTTGCAGCGGACAGGGTGATCATTTTGCTAATCGCCTGGTCATAAAGGTATCGGGTGTATAGAGGATACCTTTAGAGGATACCTGAGGACTGGACAAGCACCCGCCTACCCGCCCCCGCTACCAGGCCTACCCGCCCCCGTTTCAACCCAACTGGGCCCCAGGACATAATTTCTTGTCCCTTACAACAACTTATCTGTGACAGACAGCACCCAGGCCTGAACCCTCCCAATATAAACCCACGACTGGGAACTAGGCCTTCTAAGTCCTGTCCCACTGGACAAACTGTCACCCTTGGAGAAGCACCCAGGCTCGAATTCAAGAAAAAGTGGTGAAATCAAGAAAAAGTGAAGGACTCCCGCGCAAAGACCCCAAATGCGCGCGCTACGCGCACTATTCTCCACTGTGATTGGATGCTCACAAGCGCATCCCACTAATTGACTGTTATTGGCATAACCATACTCCCTCCTCCCGGAGCCAAAGTGCGTTTTCCGGAGACAAGCACCGGAAAACTGTATTGTAGCAGAGAGAAGATGATATTTGCTTTAAAATTGCAGGTAGGTCTAACCAGCAAAAATCCCAGCTACCGAATTGATTGTCAATAGAGCCTGAACGTACGCCATTTTGTCTTTGAGCTTCCAGACCCCTCCGCGACCCTTCTATGGGCATTTTACACGGGGTTGCTCTTTTTCTTGCTGTAATTTTTGACAAAATGATTTCCAACCGTAATCACCCCAAGAAACATTCACGTTTGAAGTTTATCTTGATGAGGAAATCAGTTGGAGATGGGTAAAAACGAATTATACTTACGACCTAACACATCCGGAATTTCGTGCCTAAAGGTCTCCTTGTTCGATCACGTTTGTTTTCACATCGCGTACTTGCATGAGAACGAAAAATGATAAGGACGCGAAGCTTTACCTACCTATACGTACGATGGATTAAAGATTTAGTCGGGCTTGCTTGAATACAGTTCTTATCAACTGTCATTTTATATTTGTTTGTAAATGAGAATTAGTCCTTCAAGTTTATTTTAAAAATGTGTTTGCCAAAAGACATTTTAGTCTCCCATTTAAGTTTCAATTTTTACCTAATGACCGCCACAAAATTATTTCATAAATTTGCATCTTTGTACGTGTGCTCCGAGTTCCATAAGTCCACATGTATTTTAGATTTTCGGAAGTGAGAGGTCAATTTTGGCACAATATTTCTCTTTCACGTCATGCGATTTTTCAGTTTCCATAAATTGAGATGCTAGTAACAATTTTACAAAGGCCTTTTCCGAGGGAGATTTTCTTAAGAAATCAATGCACCAAAAATAATTTTAAAAACTCCGACTTTTACAAGCTAATTTTCCTATTCGAAGGGGCAGGAAGCGCACCACCAGGGGTCAACTTTCAGGCTTGTACATACGTCCTCTGGACCGAATAGACTTCAATACGCGTTGCAGGTCTACAAAAGCATTTATATAAGCTTTTGTTAGCTTTTTTTGTGTTATCCTAGCTTGACAATACGTCGGATATACATTGTATTTCTGTGATCGTAGCCTGTTTTAATTTAATTGGTGATTTTGAGTTGATTGCATTGATATCCGTGTCAAACAAATACAAACAAACAAACAGAGGTACCTTAGGCCAAAAAAAAAAGTCTCTGGTTTCTGGTATGGAGCTTGTCCAAAAAGTGGTGCGGCGACGCGGCTTTTTTTTGTTGTTACCTGACTTTTTTGCTTCAAATGTCGGCTGATGACTGCAAATGGTGCCCGACTAATTTTAGTGCAAATATATGGGAGTCCAGAGAGGCCACATAAAGCTTATTCTCGATCATAACCCCATCTAAAAACACGTTAAAATTGTGCAGCAGCAGGATTCCAGTCAAACCAGTGAGTTTGGCGGTTTTGAGACATCATCTTTCATTGAAAAAAAAACCTTTTTCATTTTGCCGACGCGCATGGCTACGGCGACGCGCGCGCATACCAGAAACCGGAGACTTTTTTTTTTTTGCCTTAAAGCATGTTTTTTTTCTCGGTATTTTAACAACAAATAATGTACAAAATGTTTACTCATGCAGATCTCAGCGACACAAAGCCTTGCCCTCATATCATAGATTACCAGCCAACCAACACTGTCCTGCCAAATTTTAGGAAAATCGACCGTCGCACATGAAAATATTGATGGGGTGCCCCCACCCCATCCTCCGTGCCCGAGAGACCCCAAAAATAGCCCAGTCCTGAAAGGGTTAATTAATTGAGGATATCTGGACTTAACAGTGTGTCCTAAATTTAAGCAACTTTTTTTCCCATAAGGAAGGACTAAATGTGGTAGGCATGTTACGGGAGGCCTCCAACAACTTGAGAGGATTAAAATGCATCCCTGAGTTAAACTTGAAGGTGCGAACTTAATGAAAGTAGAGATCCGTACCATTGGACAGGGCGGTATGTATACCGAAACGCGAACAGTCCATACTTAAAAAAAATATGCAATTCTTTTCTCAATAAAAATTTTTTTTTTTAGGTAATGAACTCGTTAAGCGGGGCCACAATGTAACGTTTCGGATTGCTGAGTGTGTGTGGCACATAAGGGACAGGGCCAATCTGGATGCAGCTATCAACTGTCAACCGTTCCGCTGCAATGCTCCTGAGGAACTTGTGGCAAAAATGTTGGACTTCTTCTCCCGAAAGACTCTTTCAGGGGAGATGTCTTCCATCGTCTGGTTTGCCAAGCTGTGGCTGGGACTCCTGGACGATCCAGAGGCGAAGGAGTTGATGAACACTATGCAGGATTTTAACGAGGTCTTACTCGGAGATGGGGATTTCCACGCCTCGCTGATAGCAGCGAATTACGACCTCGCGATATGCGACCTGATGCTGCCGGCGTGTTCCGTCATAGCGCACGATGTTCTCGATATCCCGTACGTGAACGTTGCCAATGGCGGGCCTCTGGGCACGCGATACAGCCGTTGGATTGACACGCCTTCCCCTCTCAGTTATGTCCCGGAGTACCTCACGCACTACACCGATTCCATGACGTTTCCGCAGCGCATCAAGAACTCCCTGGCGCACGCCTTCTCTGTTTTCATCTACGATTTCAGCAGCACCTCCGGGCTAGAAGCTGTCAGAGAGAAGTTGGGACTTCGGAGAGGGACGTCGATGATGGAGATTTGGAGAAAATCTTCCCTCTTTATCTTCAACTGGGACTTCGTTTTGGAGTATCCTCGCCCCACGCAGCCCAACGTGATCATGGCAGGTGGGGTGTCCGTGCGACCCCCGCAACCGTTATCTCCGGTAAGTCTCAAAATCAGAAAATTCCAGAGGAAAATGCCTAGATGTGGCATTTATGAACAAACAATCTTGCTTTGCCCCCCCCCCCCCCAATAAGGGGGCTAATGGTTCACCTAATGTGCGATGTCGAAAGTCCAATCGAATGCGCACTCCCAGTGTAATGTATGCTTTTAGGCGCCCATTTTTGGAAATCTTGAGGTGGCCACAAGAACGGTCGAAAAATATCGCGCATTCGACGCTTGTGGTGGACGATTGCGCGATGACCACTGCTCCTCGATGGTCCGAATCGGATGTGGGTGCCACTGTTCCCCTCTAGAAAAAAAGATCTTGGCGACGCCGATGATACGTAGGCCAAACTCTCATATCCAGCGGGGGCAGAGGGGGGGGGGGGGGCACTTTGCCTCCCCTGGCGTATTTTTTTTACAATTTTTTTGTAAGCAATGATTGAAATAAATGTTTATAGAGTTCTTCTGATATCAATCCAGCCAAAGAAAACCCGCTCAACAACCATTACAACGTGCCGTTATAATGTCCATATAAAAATATGTAGTATGCATAATAATGGTCAGTTTTGAAGACCGCCCCCCCCCCCGCGTTTTGATTTTACGGAGGGCAAGTGTCCGGAGAAAACAACATGTCTACATTTCGGCGCCGATGTGCGGTGCCCCCCCCCCCCCGATGCCGATGTGCGATTGCCCAAAAAGTGGTGCGGCGACGCGGCTTTTTTTTTTTTACCTTATTTTTTTCCTTCAAATGTCGGCTGATGACTGCAAATGGTGCCCGACTAAACTAAGTGCAAATATATGGGAGTCCAGAGAGGCCACATAAAGCTTATTCTCGACCATAACCCAATCTAAAAACACGTTAAAATTGTGCAGCAGCAGGATTCCAGTCAAACCAGTGAGTTTGGCGGTTTTGAGACATCATCTTTCATCGAAAAAAAACCTTTTTCATTTTGTCGACGCGCATGGCTACGTCGACGCGCGCGCATACCAGAAACCGGAGACTTTTCTTTTTGGCCTAACATCCTGCTAATCATTATATCGGGGATGTACATGTAATGACCTCTCTCTCTCTGTGTTTACACGCGTGCTTTTTATGGTTGTGAACGAGGCCAGGGGAGTTGGATTCCAGACCTATACCTGATTGAAAGCGAGACGTATCTGAACAGGGACGGATCCAGGAATTTTTACGGGGGGGGGGGGGGGGGAGTCCCGTCAGATTTTTTTATGTCCGATTGTTGCGTACAGGCGGACATAATAATGCAGCTTATACTGATACACTTTTTGTTATTTGTTGGTGTGTGTCGGAGCGGGGGGAGGGGGATGGATCCACGCCTGCTGAGGTCTGTATTAACTCAACTGCTACACAATTCTTTCATTCACTTTCACCTATAATTTCTTTTTTTGGTCAAGGATTTCGAAGAGTTTGTCCAAGGTTCTGGCGACCGCGGTGTCTTGGTCTTTTCCGTCAGCACGCTGACGAATATCATGGATGACGCCATGGCTGACATGATCGCCGCGGCCCTGGCCAGGCTGCCGCTCCGCGTCGTCTGGAAGTTCGTCGGGGACCGGCGACCGGCCACGCTGGGCAACAACACGCTGCTGGCCAGCTGGCTGCCACAGGGAGATCTGTTAGGTATGGCCCGTGGGCAATTACTTTTTTCCTGCAACCAAGCAAAGTCAGTGACCATAATACGCATGCGTCAGTTGGTAACGAAATGGTTCTTACGTCCCTCCATGAAAGTAAATCCTCCAGAGCCATGAATCAGAAAATGTTAAAATATAAATAAAAAATATCAGTAGGACTGGATTAAACACAATAATTAAGAAAGAAAAATCACTCCTTTTTTTGGGGGGGGGGGGGGACGAAAACATAATCTTGTATATTGATAGGCATCAGCTTACCCTAGCACGCCACAATGGTGCTCCGATCTTCATTGCAAATCGAATCCGTTTTAAGTTATTTCATATCACGTGATATATATTTATTTAATCCCGTGATATTTCACGCATGCGTATCATGTAAGGTGGATTACTCTACTGTACCGTCGCGAACTCTTATCTTTTCCGCCCTTGAAGAACAGAATGTACTTGTGAGAGGGAGAGATGGAGGTTGAAAATATCGAGTCCAGAGGCACGACCTCCAGTGGCGTAATAAAGGTCCGCTACATGGCACTTGAGGATCCTTTTATTTTGTGAAGGGGGAACTTAATAATGGCAATCGATGTACTTTTTTCATCTCCAAATTCTGAGCATTAAGCACAAATGGGAGATGAAGGTATAGAGCCCCCCCCCTAATTCCCCGCTGGAGGGGGTTTCCCTGTGCCCCTTCTAGTGACCTGTTATTGGCTGTACATGTAATTGCACAATTTATTACAAGAAGAAATAGGAAATTTGAACCAGGGTGAAGCTGGAAGGATATATCTCTAAATAAAAACGAAACAGTTCAGCCAAACAACCTGAAACGAAATTTTTAAATGGGTAACGAAATTTCTACATATGTGGATAACATTTTATATGAAGCCAAAAACTTACTCTCGGCATTGTTACACCGCATCTCAATTCTCAATTGTCATGCATTGGGCTGGGTTTCAATGAAATATTTCAAACAGAAAGAACTACCTTTTGAGATTTTAAAAAAATCTGTCAAATCACCATTGTTTTAATCATCACTGTCATTTGAAGGCATGTGGCACAAAACACGATTTACACATTACAATCGTCATCATTACTGTACTAATAAGATTGAATTTTGCGTCGAGGTGATATAAATCAAATTAGGTTTTGCCCTTCACCGACGTTTAAACACTGTATACTCAGTATGTTACCTCCCGAGTGAAAGTTGGAAACTTATGACTGTAACTATGTTAATATAAATTGTTATTTGTTTCAAAGTATCTTCTTCTTTTTTGTTGCAGGGCATAATAAAACCAAGCTGTTTATATTCCACGGCGGAATCAACGGTGCGTATGAATCGATATACCACGGGGTACCAGTGGTCGGGATACCACTCTTTGCTGACCAGATCGACAATCTTCTGCGGCTGCGCAGCCTCGGTATGGCAGAGTACGTGGAGGGCGGAATACGTGAGGTTACCAGCGACACACTGTACCAGCTTATCATGAAAGTGGCCTCTAATCCGAGGTAATATTTTAAACTTATGCATGCAACTCGAAATCTGTTTCCATATTGAAGACCAACATTATTGATAGACCAGTAGAGGACACAATCATATTAATACTGCAATACAAAATATTAACATCGCCCTAACAACTCAACAAGGGAAAACAACATAATCTGCATTTTCATGATTCCAATAAGGAAAACTCTATTTCATGGCCAACGGTTGGTATATTGCATTTGACAATTGTACAATTGTTTCACGATTTAAAGGCAATATGATCATTTGCATTTATCCCAAATATAATGTACCGAATTATTATCAAAAGCGTACTTGGATTAGGCCTACAATACTAAGCACCCCTTGAAATTATTCCATCTTGCTTGCTGTCATTTAGAAGAAATAAAGAAATAAAGGTGATTTCCAACGATACGTCAATTGACAGATATTTGGAAATAAAGAGTGCTATCGACGAAATCGTGTTTCGTGATCATATAGTGCATGGTTTTTTTTTTTTACTGTTTTCTCGAAAAGTGTAACATCCACTGAGCTGAAACTTCGACAGGTTAGGTTTTGAACATTTTTCGTTGGATTATGAATGGTGTTATTATTGGAAACGAACAAATTGCATGGAAAGCTAATTAACTTGTGTGCCTTTAAACGCTGTACTGTGACAATACAAATGGTGTTTTGATTGATGTTTGAACGCAGCTATAAACAACACGCGGTGGAGGCATCGGGGAAGTTCAAGGCACAGCCGCAACAACCTCTGAAACAAGCCGTTTTCTGGATCGACCACGTCTTGCATTACGGCGCGGATCACCTGAGGTCAAAGGTCGGCGAACTGTCCTGGATACAGTACCACATGTTGGACGTAGCGGGCGTCCTAGCGGCATTCTCTATACTGTTGATTTGGAGCTTGCGTTACTGTTTCTCCGCATTGTGCTGCCGTGCCAAAGTTGCATGATATAGCCACAGTTTTCACTCGCGTACTTTTTAAATTTGCAACTTTTCAAACTGCATGGCATATTTCAAAAACCGTCGTCAATGTTGGACGATTTACAGTCTTTTGTAGCAAATGGGGTATCAACATGTAGCTAACAACATTTCCCAAAGGTCCATATAAATAACGTTATCATAAGACGAAATTATGACCCCTCCAATGAGTGTGGACTTTTTTTTGCTGTGTTTATTACACATCAAACTATTTGCACTTGTAAATTTTACATTACACCTACATTTACATTATTATTATCAAGCATTTGCAATTTATGTAAAAATGGTTCATATAAATATCAAAGTAAACCTGGTCCACTTCTCACGTGTCTCATGTTTATTTTAGTTTGACATGAGTTGTTAGATTATTGCTTGCCGAATCTTAGCATTGGCAGAACGCGCAGTCGCACTCACCGTATACAGCTAGGCCTACCTATAGCTCTTCAAAAGCATTGACACCATACCCTTGCTTGCCATACAGGGAGAAAGTCCTGCGATTAGGTCAAGTATAAATTTCATGTTATTTTCCTAATCCAATAAAATGCTTGCCTAAGCATATCTAGTGTTATAGTCAAATTGGGTACTTTACAGTCATGTCCTTTTTAACAGTTGTGCAGAAGCAGAGACGATGCAGTCCGATGCTCAATCCTGACTGACATCTACAGCAAATAAATCGTTGCAATGAATACTGTTGCAATTAATACTGCAGCTTCATTCATCAGAGTGTCAAGGTGTCCATTCTTAAGAAAATAGACACCACTTCCAAACGGTAGCTTGACTTCCATCAACAAAAATTGTTTTCTTTTGGTGCTCAGAAATGTCACCGAGTTTACTCCTCGCCCTAAGTAACGGCTAACACAGCAACTCTCTCGGGCATCGACAGAATATTGTGGTTGAAAAGCAAATTATTTTGGTAGCTCATAAGCTGCATGATCTGTATGCACCCGATCGATCGTCCTCGGGTAATTACAAACTCTATCCATGATGCTCGGAGATAAGCAATCAACACAGTTCTTAAATTGGGTTGCGGCTGTACCTATCTTTAGACGACAGAGGGCGACCTTTCTTCAAGACGGTATTATATTGTGAAGGTTTAGAAACATCTGGACCGAAGAGGGCGTCTTAACGGTATCTTTCCTTCGGGATCCGCACCTGGGCACTACTCACCAATTTTATTTCGTCCTTGTATGTCTCAATAAAAAAATAAAATAAAACAAAGCTGTCTCAATTTAAATTAAGCATATAGAGGAAATGGCCTGACGCACGCTAATCACGAAATGGAAAAAATGCTGATCTGCCGGATGCTCTCATTAAACTGAAGGAATCGGCGATGTTATTTGCATGAGGAGACTACCTCATCCCCGGCCGGCCAGACCGTATACACCCAACACGCAAGGGTTTACGCATACGCCGCGGAACTTACGGGCAAGATTTGTGAACATGAACGGGCAGGAGTTTGTGAAACAGGCGTTATAGCCCGCTAGATTGTGATAGCGCCCTCACGCGTCTAGTTTCCCCGTGCGGACTGCTGGATTAATGCAGATGACATAATTTCTGGGTGTTACCAAAACAACCCCTCAGTATTTTCCACGGAATGAAAGGAAGTAATTATTAAGGCCCTGGAAGAATTACTGAAAAGGCTTCCTGAGCAATTTTTTTTTATCGTGAATGCTCCGCCACCAATCTCATATTTTCCTCCCGTCTTTTCCTCCTGCAAGATGATAATTTGTTTAAAAGGTGTTCTCAGTTACTGAGACACAAATAGAACATTGAGGTTTATACTAATGGATCATCACCTCCGATCTTTGTAGTTGATTTTCCCCTTAACTTGCAATCTTAGTTCTAGTAGTGATGAACAGTTCAATGCAAAGTTGCAGTCTTGGTACACTGTGCATGAATCAATTCGGGCGATTCACAATGCAGTGCGCCACCAAGAGTTTGCCACAGAGAGTTAATTTTTCCCAGTGCATTGTGGGAGATGGTCGACAATTTCGCAGTGCGGGACATTTGAAATTGTTAGTTTTTTCCGGTCAGTAGTTTCCGAAAAAGCGTAAGATTCGAGTATCTGTTTGCCCTTTTCTCTTCTGTTTATAAAAAATCATGTATTTTGTAAGGCGGCAGAACGCTATGCCCCAATCCATAACAAATTAGCTCAAGTTGTCTACTGACACTCATTCAAATGGGCCGTATTTTGTCGACCGTAAACTTTAAAAATGGACTCTCCATGGCAAACTCTCGGTGCCGCACTGCATTGTGAATCGCCCGAATTGCACATGAGTGAATTTACTCGCATACAATGTGATAACCACTATATGTAGCCCGTTGGCAATTGGTTTTTGTATCTAAAGCATGTTTACAATCAAAACGGAACGTGTTTTAATAGTTGAACACCAATTACAATTTGCGGAAAGAGGACTGCAATTAGTACTCATGTCGAGGCAAGTTACATTTAAATTTTGGATGCCTAAACTTAAAACTATTACAATCACGTGACATGTCCTTCCAACACTTACAAATAATTGCCTCTCATAACGACCTGATGGGATTTCCTCCATATTCTAAAGACTTTATTGTGTTATCGTCACTTATCGTCACTCGTTTATTAAGCTCTGTGAAATCTATGTGTCCTGAAACCTCCACAAAAGAAATAAGAGCCAACTTCATTAGATGTTGTGTGCGGATGCGATTCTCCTAACTAAACTCTCTCACAATTGCCAGATCTCGCAAACATTCAACTTTCATCAATAGTGTGATGTTTCACTAGACCTTAGTTTTCACCCTGTTAAATGAAAATGTTCTTGTTTTGAAGGCGCCTGACCTCGATATTTTTTTTTAATGAAAGTTCACAAAAAAATTAAGCGATAACAAATATTCCTGGAGACCAAGCAGAGTTAGATTAAACCATGCATCAAAGTCAAGGCCGTCCTATGGGTCTTTACGTGATGCCCATAAGTGGATTCATTTACTAGTCCATTTATTTAGACATGTAGCATTCGGCCTCTTTGAAGTGGCCACGCCTGGCCTTGCCAAGCTGACCACTGCGCGCCTCTAACTTGATTTTCACGGCAACCTTCGTCAGTTTGTCTGTGATGAATGGCGCCATATATGCAGTTACCGTTTTTGAGACTGATGGTGATGGGGCATCTAATTGGGCCAAGGGATCAATTAAATTCCCGACTTAAGTCACTTAGACTAATTAAATCAAAGTGTCAATTTATACTAATCTCCATTCGTGTCAGCACTGTGCAATATTTTGCTGTGGCAATTGCATGACGTTGGTCGTACGTGGTTTGATTATAAATAAAGTGGCACTAACTGCCGTACACCCTGAGGCGAAAACCACAACTGCAGCTGAGATGGCACGTTCTATTTCACATCTTTCTTTTTGACGTATAGCCCTCAGGCATTGGCACCTTTTTAGGGGACCACGCAGCCCCCACGTAGTACTGTACTTTACTTTGGACGAAAACCATCCAATTAAACATCTTTGTTACTTGGTGTGTGGGATGTGAATGCCCTTTGACCTCTACTGACGTCATTTGGTGTATGGCGGTGAACATAGCGCACTGACTTGCCGCGAATACCAACAAATCAAAACCTTTGTTACTTGATGTGTGGGATGTGAATGGCCTTTGACCTCTAGTGACGTCATTTGGCACAGCAATGAATGGTGATACATGTATTTGGGTAGTATTCGCCGATTCAAGGATGGTAGCAGATGACACGATCCGAATAGACTTTGGAGACCAGGCCCTATAAATCTTTAGATGACTTTGCATTCAGATCGTGCAGGCCGAGTATCAGGTGACTTTTCACGGAGAGAAAAAGAAAGATGAAACCCAATATTCGTCGGGAAAATATATTTTTCGGGAAATGGTCGCTCTATTCATCCGTGCATGGTTTGACATCAATAGACCTCGACGCGAAATGAAAGGCTGTTTCTACCTGTCCGAAATCGAAGATGAAAAGAATTGTTATCTTACGACAAAAAAAATAGTCTCAGAGATATCGATGAGCGGTCCAGAAATGAATGACAGTAAAATTCGATATTTTAGCTCGACTACATACAAAGCCGATGTGCCGAAATTGGGGCACGCGATGTACCCAAAAGGCATACTGTTAACTGCATGCTCACACACGGTTGTCAAATGTCAACGAAAATCGACTTTCAAAAAAAGAGAGGAAAACACCGGTACGAATAAGGACTTCATCGAACATGACTTCATCCTTGGCCCAATTCCGATTTTCAAATCGCCCGACATGTTCGATTCATACGTCGCCATGGGCCAGAGAGAGCTTCTTATACGAATGCAGCTCACGGCCTAAAAATCCACATTTCAAATCGGCGAACAGCTCCCGAATACAAGAGGACATTAAGTCGATGAGTTGAGTCTCCTCTGAATAAAAGCTCTTGAGGTTGGCATATTAAAGTGACCTAGAAACAAGCCTGTGAACAAGTTCGTCACTTTGTTTGACATCTGGTTCAATCTTGGGGTTTCGTTTTGATTAAGTCTCATCCCAAGTTGGAGGCTGAGAAACAAATAGGTTTTGACTTGTTGCTTGAAAAATTAACGCAGGACCAGTTTACCATCCTGGTATAATAAATGCAGGAGAGCATACTCTGCCTTGCATTGAATAAACTATAGGGACAGACACCTACACCCACAAATTCGATGACCAGCACAAATTTACTGCTTGCTGCCCCCGGCCACTTCTCTTTAATTTCACATCGCGAGTACGATTTAGAGTGGCTCGAGACACTCCGTAAAGAAACACAAAATGTTGCGTCCATTAACCCTCCTCGCTTTGAGAATCGCACTGAGCTTATTGAGAACACCAACCAAATCTCATGCCTATGTAGACGGGACAGGATTTGGTTAGAAATCCCCCGTGCAAACATTAACAACGCGGAAGAACTCATTTCATCATATCAGGAACGGGGAACGGTTTTCTCCACGGTGTATATCCCCATTCCCTCCGATTGAAATAGCTCCCCTGCTTAAGAAGATTGCCAGTGTGGTAGCCAACCACTCAGCTTTTATCCGTTAGAAATCACTTTCCCTTGCATCATGCCCGATTCTGTAATTGTTTGGCCGCAATCTTCACCGATCCGTCGGCGCAGACTTGTTCCACTCTGAGATATACTCCCCGAGGGCTTATGGACACTAAATTGAATCACTAGCGCTCCGCTGTTGTGTTTTTGATCCAGTCAAACCCTCTCAATCCGTCAAGGAACGTGTTCGGCGTGAATTTCCGTTATCGCACTCCTAGCCTGACCTTAAAGCTAAGACATCATTTTTTAGATAACATCCTCTTTGTTTTCTGCATGATGTCTTGGATTTCTAAAATTATTTCTGATTATTTCTTGAACCTTGAAGAAAAACCTCACACGGGGAAAATACGATAAAGTACAGCGTTATAGAGGTGAAAGCCAGGGGGAAATAGTTCAAGTAATTGTGACTGACCCAACCGAACCTTCACCGTATATAACATAAGACAAGGTAAGCCTATATTCAAAAATGGTTCAAAATGGCTACTTTCTAGAATTCTTTTTGTTATGCATGTGGCTATACAATGGGTAGGATTCAGCCCATCCATTGGCGTTACGGGGTAATCATCGTGATTTCAAACTTCAGGCCAATGTGAGAGTTATGCAAGCCTGATTCACAAGAGTGACAATTAGTGAGTCCCTGAGGCTGCATCCGAATCAGTTG